CCAAAGTAAGAGTTGCTACGTCTATAGTTACGTTTTTGGGCTGATCCATTTGTAGATCAGATGGGTTCACATTTTTTGGCGTTGTAAGCTAGAGAATTCCCGCGACTCCTGCAGTTATATAGAAAAGAGAATCGACTAATATTCTTATCTCTGTAAAAACAGTTAACATATGTAGACGATCCCGATATTTGATGTATTAACTCTAATAGTACTATAAGAACGTCACGCGATTTAGGTAATAGACTGACATGCATATTTCTTGATATGATTCGGTTACCAAAATTTCGATACGTTTAGAAAATGTCCCTATATAGGAAATATTGTCGACTTTTTTGGTGATATCGGTCCTACGTGTGTGTTAAAGTATTATTCAACTGCGTGATAATTTAAGATTATTAATCATAAGAAATAATATAATATTAGAGCCGCAGCGCCACCAGTAAGCTTAGCCATCGCAACATACATACATACACTAAAAAAGCTGATCCATAAAGACCATACACTTGTATTCAATATCAAAAAGGCTCTACAAAAGACATTCCTGAAGCATTCAGTAACGATTTGAAGGAATCTTTTCTGATTAGTATTGAGCAAATAGATGGCGATACTACTAAACAACATTGAATAGTTCGATGTTAAAATGACCAAGGTGTAAAGGCAACCTTCGCTCCTATAGACATTAATAGCGAATAAATTGTTAAGGGACTTAGACGGCAAAGCTCCCAAGATAGTGGTATATTCAGATCATAATGCAGCTCTACACACCCCGTTAGCAGTATTATGACTCTTTATTTTCGATTTTCAAAGGAGGATTGGAAAACACGTTGGCAGAAACGCAACATACATGTCTGGGAGTAATTACTTAGAAAGTGACAAAATAGATATTAATAAGTAATAAACGTTTTTAAGAAGTACACAAGTATTTCTTGAACCAACCTCGTAGAACTATCGGGCATAGCTCGGTGGGTAGTAGTGGTGTGACAAGCACAGACTATATGATTCCAACTTTCAATTGACAAAGACGGTTTTCAGTAAACATGAAAAGAGATGGTTGTCGTAAAGGTATGTTAGCTGCGCGCAGCACATTGAAAATTTGTATTGTTAGCTCGGGAAAAAAGTGGGGAGCTAGTGAGGGTATATACTGCCCAGAGTTAGATATAAGGCAGCCTTTTAAGCTGCTAGACAAGCAGAGGTCTTTGCTATTGAGAACGCCGTGGAGCTAACCTATATAGCATCAGCAGGCAACTCCGTAGTTAACATATACATATGTATGTGGAAAGTCAGGCAGTAGTCAAGGCAGTAACCGCGTTTCACATTACACAGAAGTGGGTGGGAAAGCAGGACAGCGAAAGAAAGTGTCGCCAGATACAAGCGACTTCACTTTTACTTCATGGCAAATCACGCGTAGAGAAAACTGAGAGAGTGGACGATGTTTCCAAAGGGTGATGTACGGCACATCCCCAAAAATGACTATTCCTTTTGAATTTCGTAATGGCACCTCACGGATTATCGCAAAGGACCAAAACTAGTTTATGCGTGGCTCATTAGCGTACCAGATTAAACAATGACATTATGTATGTACATACATACATATGTATGTAAAGTTAGTTAGGCACTTAATAGCCTATGTGCATCCTTCGAAGAGCATACAAAATATTATTTTGTCAAAAAAGTCTTGCGGTATTATTTATTTATTTACTTTTTTATTTTATAAGGGTTTGATGACTCATGCCCAACTCTTGACCGATGCTACGGCTGCTACTATGCCGGTCTCTTTCGACCAATTCAGCGATTTTATCGCAATTTTTGACGACAGGCCTTCCGGAGCGTGGCGCAACTTCGACCACCTCTAACCCAGAACAAAAACGTTGAAACCATCTTTGTGCGCTGGAAATGGAAATTGTATCGAGTCCATAAACTGCACAAATTTTATTGGCGGTTTGAGATGCATTTTTGCCTATCCATACAGTAAAATATGCCGTATTTTCTCTTTATTTTGCTCCTTGTTTGCGACGGGATAACTTACGAACGACTTAAAAGAAACGACAATCAATCAAACACGTGTTAGCGCCTGAAAAGCAAAAAGGTATAGCATGACTCGACGAATAAAACTAGATCTGCGGGCTCTCAGCGCCAACTAGCGAAAATACCGCAAGACTTTTTTTGACAACCTAATAAATTTCATTTGATCCATCTGACTATTTAGAGCATTCTGTGATATATGTACATAGTACATAAATACATATATACTTTGCTCATCATAATGCATTGAAATATAAGTATAAATAGCTCTGCGACATACATATGTATAACTACAAACATCTTTGGCACTTACTACTTTTTTGGAAGGGTTTCATGAATACTATCATGTTGTAAGCTTTCAAAAATTATCTACATAGGTTAATTAATTAATTATACATGACGACAGGGAATTTCACTATACAATTTGGCTTGATATGCTTTTATTTTATTCCACTTAAAAAAGAACAAATCATCACAATTGCTGCATACTTTCAGGCTGAAAGGAAGCGCACAGAGTGTCGTATTAGTTTGAAGAATATACATATTGATAAAGTGTGCGCAAACGTATTATATTCTCTGTTCATTATTTGATACCGGAATATCACTTAATTTATCAAAAGCAATTTATTTACTTTACGCGTATTCAGAATGCATTAAACGTTAGGCCAATACAAAGCTCCCTAAAAATGCACACCATTGATTATTTATTATTGGGGTAAGGAAAAAAATCCGGAATCATCTCGTTCAAAATCAATAACCGCCATGTTGCTTCTTTAGTGACGTAGTTACAAACGTATTTTATCGATTACACCAAACTGCAATTTGAATATGAATTAGTGGTGAATATAGTAGGATCCATGAGTTGTCAACTTCCATATTCATTCTTCTAAGTTAAATGCTGAATGTTCTGCCATTGTCGTCTGGTGGGCTACGCCGATAGAGTGGATATTCATCATTTCTAGTTAGTGTTTCCGAAAGAAARGYACGTGGATAGTGTTTCGTGCATTTATTGTCAGCCATACAAACCGAAAAGGGATTGTAATGTTCGAAAGGTCCATGAATCATATTGGTTTTCACCACTTCGAATAATAGTGGATCTTTCTCTGCATCAATAATTTCCGCAGAAATGATTTCATCAATTTGATCTGGTATAACCACCAGCCAAAGAAGAATGTGTACTTGCGGCAAACCTCTCTTTTGCCACTCAACTGTGTACATCTAGCATCCAACAGCATCATCAAACATCGTAACTGTTGTTTGAAAAGTTGTGCTGTGACATCTTGACGATCGATTGTTGATTGACCGCGATCCATAATTCCGCACGAACATATGTCATCGCATCCTGCTTCTTGCCTTGCCTTGCCTTGGGCTGCCATACGTTGCTCGCAAAAAAAAAAAAAAACAACGCCGACCGATATTAGGGCGACCTCTTCGTGGCTTCGTAACAAATTTCTATCTGCAATTGCTCACTTTGCGTGAAACATGCATATGTAAAGTTTTCAGTGAATAATTTTCAATAAGTTTTATTTTGAATAGCCGGAATAAAAAAGCAAGCGACCAAAATTGAACGTTTCAAATAATTCGCAAATCAAAATATTGAAAAACAAAAGAAACAAAAATTAAAAAAAAAAATGTGTATGGAAAGGAGTTACTTTTTGGAACTATTAAATTTTTCGACTTTTCCCCATGAAAAGGTATTTTTAATTTAAATCTTCCCCGAACCACAACGAATAATCTCTGAAAATTTCAGCAAGATTGGTGCAGGAGTTCTCTTAGGGTTACCAATAAACAAACATTCGTTTGTTTGTATGGGAAAAAGAAAAGGGCTGGTTGTAGGGGTTTCCCGGAAATTATTCGAAATTTTCTTACCCTAAAAACCATGCTTGAACCTCAACGATCACATTAAAAAAGAATTATCAAATTTGCTTCAGTCGTATGAAAGTTATAAGCGTACATACATTTTGGCGATTCATTTTTATTTATATACATACATACATACATATGTAGATAATGAACCGTTTTCTTTGAGTTGCAATTTTTTTGTCTTATTGAATTTCGATATTATATCGCTTTTTTATATACATTAAACAAATAAACTGAAAAATATTAATAAATTTGCTTTGTTTACGTTAATTAACATCAAATTTAAAATAAAATTGAAATAGTATGTCTCAGGCAATTACTTTCTGTGTAATCGACAGTAATTTCATTATCATATTTCAGTTGCAAATATTTTGCCCGATACTGTACATATGGGTGGTGGGCTGAGTTTTCATCCAATTTAATAAATAAATAATTAAGTCGAAGGCAAGTAATATTTAATATTATTTAATTATTTAATTCGTATACAAAAAGCAAATATTTTGTACGTTTCCGCTACACTGTGCGCCATAAGTCATTGACACGCAAAGCTCTAGTGCGCTGGTCCGCTGTTATTTGGCGTCACTTTTGCTTTCGACGATTAAATTTTGATACCCGCAATTCGGCGCCCGCCCTTTGTCGTGCCGCCGACTGGCATTTACTTTGTTATGATGTGCGAATTAAACAAAATGCGAAGAAAAGCAAGCTCTATTATAGCAGTAATTGCGACATTGCGCTGTCTTTTGTTTTTACCATTGCAAATATGAGCTAATGATTAGATCATAAGCGGGGCAGTGCTGAAGCACACGGCTTGTGCTTTAATGAGCGCTCCTTGTCGGCTTCTTTCATTTGTATAGGTTTTGTATTGTCATAATGTAACACTATTATCTGCTTATTATTATTACTTTTGTTGTTTGAAAATTGACATAATTGTTGCTGTAAGACATTTTAATTAAGGAATACTTTTATGACAAGCAATTAAATGTAGTGCAGTGGATTTCACACAAAATTCCGGTTGCATGACGCACATGCGGCATTTGCGTGCAACACTTGAGGTAACGACTGTCTAGTGTAGGTGTGTGCATTTCAAGATTATTTTTTCTAAGCAAACACCTAAATTTAATAATATAAATTAATTTTATTTAGCACATTTTTCTTTTTAAAAATATGGTAACATCTTAAATAAGAATATCTTTTACAACAAAATGATTGTCAAACATAATTTATAATGAGCGTACTTTGTATATACATATATGTAAGTATGTGTATATGCATGAATATGCATGTACTTCGAAGTGAAATGAAGGCGTGAGGTGATTTGGGCGGCAAGCAATGCACTGACCTTTAAATGTCGCCAAACACTTGTTTCTGCAATGAAAGCTGCTCAGCTGCTTCGCCTCTCTGCTTTAGTGGACTAGAATAAATATGCCTAAACTAAAGTGCGTTTACAACAGCATTAGAAAACATATTTATGCATTTTCTTAAGAAACTATACTTTGGTGGCGCCTACGACAGACGCTCATTTTCGTTTGTACCAACCACTGCCGCCACCGCTGCCGGAAGCCGCCCAACCACCGCTGCCGGACGATTGCCAGCCTCCTCCACCGCTTGCTGGCGCATAGTTGTAGCCACCACCACCGCCGCTACCGCCACTTGCATCTCCATGTGAGCCGGCTGCTGCGGCAATAACAGCAGTATCGAGATGACCGCCACTACCGCCATAACCACCACCGCTGCTGTAGCTACTGCCACCGTCATAACCGCCACCGCCATAGCCACCACCACCACCGCTGTGTGAGTCGCTAGCAGCTGCTGCGGCTGCTATATTAGCGATGGAATGTGAGTCTCCACCACTGCTGTAGCCGCCACCGCTGCTGTAACTGCCGCTGCTTCCATGTGAAGATGAACTGGCCGCAGCTGCGGCTGCAGCTATGTGTGCGTCATCGTGGCCGCCTCCGCTACCGCCATATCCACCACCACCGCCGCTGCTGTGTGAGCCACTAGATGCTGCTGCTATGGCTGCGATTTTCGCCAAATGTGAGTCACCGCCACTGCTGCCACCATGACCACCGCCGTAGCTGTAGCCACCGCCGCCATGTCCACCATGACCGCCGGCGCTGTAACCACTGCCAGATTCCTTGATAATTGCATAGGTATCTACTTGAGCACCACCGCCGCCATGTCCACCTGCACTATAACCGCCACCATAGCCGCCGC